CCATGTCAGTGGTCTGCAGAACCCAAGCTTTGGAGGGACTGACTGCCCAAAGGCTCTGAAATCAGTGAGTGGCAAGGCCAATCTGAAAGGCATGGTGTTGAATAGCAGTCCCCTCCTCAGATAGGGCTCTAACAGCCGAGGAAATCACGACACCAGACGCTCCCAGGCTCCATCTCAAATCAGGCTGGCTAGGCTCCCACGCTCCTCCTGGCTTAGTGTCCTGAACACCAGGACACTCCCTCTACAAAGGGGCACCGTGCGGGGCCGGGGAGAGGGAAGGGGCTTAAGCAAACACACTGCCTTGTGCACACGTGGCTTGCGTCATTTCTAGTATTCCCAGATATCCCTCAAAGGCCTGGCTTTGCTTTTGCTGCTGCTGCTGCTGCTGCTGCTGCTGCCGCCAGATCAGATGCACTTGGGATTGCTACCTGCTGAGCCCGGGCCCTCCAGCCCCCAAGGTTCTGAAGCAGAAAATTAGTTCTCCTCCTGTGTACCTCAGCCCCCTCTGCACCTCGGACCGTATCTGTCTCCCTCGTGTGCTCTGCCTGATGATGCTTTCTCCCGGACACTTGCGGGCGAGCTGGCAGATCTCTTACCGCTCCTGTGTGTCCACGCGACCTGTCTCCCCACTTCCCAGACGCCTCGTCCCCCGAGGCGTGAGGACCAAGGAGGTACCTTCCACCCAGGAGGCCATTTCAGCCAGCTCATCCCTCTGCCCCCAGGCATGACTAGCAGGGACCACACTTAGCCAGATGGCTGTCCATTCTCCTCCAGACCTCGGGGGAAGGAGGCTCCCCCATCTCCATGGGCAACCCTGGATCTCTGACAGCAAGTTCTTTCACTTTTCAAGCCCGGTCTCGGGTGATGGCATGCCCTGCAGGGCAGCAGCTGTGACTAATCCTGGGTTTGAGACCCTGCCTCGTGCCTCGCTGGTGTCTGTGATGCAAAGCTGGCGGCAAGAAAGGCGCTCTGGGAGGGTGCAGGGAGGCTCTGTCTGCAAGGCTCTCCCAAGGTGGTGGGGGAAGTGTCCCGGGAATGGAGAGGCAGGTGGGGCTGGAATGGCCCCAGTGGAGGTGGCCCCCAAGGCCAAGACTCACCCGGGATTGCCTTGAGAGCTTTAGGACCAGGTCTGAGTAGCTGGGTGGGACGGCTGTAGCTTGGCACAGTGAAGGGCAAGGGCTTTCGGGTCAGAGGGACCTGGTTCAAGTCCCTGCCCGGCCACTTAGCAGCGGGTGCCCCTCTGGCCTCATGTCCTCATCTGTAAAATGGAGGGAATCCTGGGGCACGTGGTGGCTCAGTCAGTTAAGTGGCCGATTCGATTTCCGCTAGGATCATGATGTGTTAGTGAGTTTGAGCCCTGTGTTGGGTTCTGCGCTGACAGTGTGGAGCCTGCTTGGGATTCTGTCTCTCTCTCTGTTCCTCCCCAACTTGTGCTCTCTCTCTCTCAAAATAAATAAATAAACTTAAAAAAAATTTTTTTAAATGGAGATAACGCTAGCACCTACCTTGCTGATCTGTGGGGCAGGAAAGAAACACAAGTGGGTAGAAATGCCCTCTAGAAGGAAGAGCTGGCCGCTTTATGTGCGCTATCTCGCTTCATCTTCCCCTTTTTACAGGTGAGGAGCCGGAAGCGTGGAGGGGCCCGTGTGGGAGGCTGGACCTGAGCCCAGGCCTGGGCACAAAGCCTGGGGGCTTTCCCCGGTGCCGCCGGCTCCCCGTTCCGCGCAAGCCTGCCCGAGAGTGCCTGCCCGTCCCTTGCAAAGCACCCCGCTCGCCCACCCTGAGCTCCTATTGTTTCTGCCACTCCCTCCTCCCACCTCCACTCCTCCCAAATCCGGAGCAGGAGCAGGGCGCTCCGGGGAACAGGGCCCCTTCTGGGGAGACACGAAAGCCCCGCTGAGCAGTGCAGAGGCAGCACGTGGCCTAGCAGGGAAAGCCATGATGACCTTCACACAGGAGGGGTGAACACACGTCCCACCCTTCATCAGCATGGATGGGGTCACACAGCCCCCCTGTGGGAAGGAAGAAGGGTAATTTCCTCAGAGCAGAAATCTGAGCACAGACTTGAGTGGCACCATCAGTGTCGCCATGTGGCCAAACCCGTGCCACCAAACTGAGCTCTGGGACTACCCCCCCCCCCCCCCCCCCCCCCCCCCCATCACGCTGGCAATCAGAGACCCTGTCTGATTCTGGCTGGGCGGACGCCCCCACTCCTGACATGGGACACAGGGAGGAACTTCAAGAGTCAATGATGTGGGGGATACAGCGGGGGGAAAGACACAGACAGGCATCCCAGCCATCCCCAGACTCACAAAGCCAGGGCCCTGCAAAAACTCCAGCTCCTCGTGGGCAAGGGGAGGAAGTCTCCCAGAGCTCTGGTGAGAATATCAGAGTGGCAGTGCCTCAAGGAGACGTGTGGCCCAGCCTGCAGCCGAGTGTGGGCTCAGTGGGCCCAGGAAGGGCCAGCCAGGGCCTGCCCCGTCGGCGTGGGTCCAAGTGCAGTGGGATCCACTTCAGCAGCCCAGAGCCGGGCCACCAGACAGCTGTCAGGCTGTCCGCCAGCCTGGGTATTTTTAGGGTGTCCTCCTTTTGGTGCCCAAATCTCAAACGTTTGGATACTTTTTTCCTAATCGTGGCTCCAATTTCTCATGTATCTAATAGTCATTTGAAATGATTCATGGAAAAATGCCTTAGCTACCAATTTCTTTGTGCCACAGACAGTGTGGTTTTTAAATAACAAGCTACTTAAACACACACGTGTGCACGTAACCACTGAAGCTCTGCTATCACAATTACACACAGACAACGACCCAGGTCACAGAGAAACTCTGGTGCCGTTTTAGAGCACTGGGGGCTGGGAACCGTCCCAGGGGAAAAGCCAGAGGGCAGCCGCAAAGACATCCAAGGGGTTCTGGGCTCAATGCCTGCAGAGGGACACCTCCCTGGCCTGCCCCACAGCCAACAGCCACGGTCACAGCCAGAGGGCCAAACAGCCCAGGCCAGGCCAGTGGGCCCAAAGAAGGCTCATCTTCTCCCAGCCACCTTCGCTTGGGTGACCAGGCCCAGTCCAGCGCCCTCAGGACCTCACCAAACAATAAGCAAGCTTCCCCCGCCGCAACATTTTTTCCCTTGCCCTTTCTCCTTCCCGGCCAACTCTGGAAACCACAACAATTTCTCCACAAAGCAGAAACAACTGGGGCTTAGGGCCTAGGCTCTGGTTCCACCTTCCAGCTGGGTGCTTCGTCAGGAAGCCCGGGGCCTCCACCTGCTGCCTTCTTGCTGGGTGTCAGCAGAGTGCCCTACCTCGGCCCTGCATTCTCTGTCCACCTTGAAGATAACGACGATCCAGCAATGACACCAGTCATAACAGCAGCAGTGGTAGCATTTACTGGGAATCTACTTTGTGTGTGTACTGGGTCATTACTGCCGTAGGTCTCTTGTAATGAAAGACAGTACTGTCTGTGCAGTGTTGTGAGCGGAGCTTATGTGGCCCTGGCAAGTTATCAAATCTCTCTCTGCCTCCACTTACTCATCTGTAAAATGGGGCTGTGACGCACACCCACTTCCCGTGTGTACACCAGTGAGTGTTTGCATGTAAAGTGCTCAGCACAGGGCCTAGCACACAGTAAATCCTCAGTAAGTGTCGACTATCACTATTCAGTCCTTACAACGGCATCATCACCATCCCTCTGTTTACAGCAGAGGCCCAAGGGGTCTGAAACCTTGCACAAAGTTCTCAGGGTCCATGAACGCAAACCACCTGACTCCTGGGCCCCTGCATTCCCAGCTCCCCGGGTTTGCCACGTGTCCGCAGGATTTCCCGTGTTTCACGGTGGCTGTTTTGAATGAAGTAGGGTGCGTTGCACCTTTGTTTTCCGTGACTGTGGGGGCACTGGAGGGGTGGGCCTGGCTGCGGAGTAGGTGTGAGAACCACAAAGTTGACAAGACCTGGTGCCACTCAAAGGCAACAGCCAGCTGGGGTGGGGGC